GAAACACTGAACGCTCTATAAGTTCGGATAGGGGTTCCCTGCAGCTCTCCAGATCTGCTGAGGGGCCCGCCGGGGCCAAAATGAGGCCAGCGCCGCTGTGAACTGAAACAATTAGAGCTCAGCTGTTGTTTGAAATGAATCAAAGGCAGTTAATGAGAAGATTTTACGCATTCATTCAGAGTTTGATGCTCCAGCTATGCAGAACGGATTTTTTTTCATGCATCGAAATTTGCATAGTTTCCTTTCTAAATAGCATGCAAGATTAGGATTAGTGCATTGGGGTTCGAGTTTGCCACGGCCTTCCTGGAATATATGGTCATGACAATAGATATTAGCATAGATCCCAAATTAGTGAGTGTTCATACAACTTTTTAGGTTGCACAATGTTTTGGCGACTTCGAAAATTGACTTGTACTGCGACAAGTTGGTCGTCCCAAGATGACGAATGAGTTTGGAGTGGTCCAGTTACATACTTTCCTACTTCATAGTACGTTAAAAATAGTATGCGAGTCGAGAAGTTTGTCTGAATTTGTAGGCTACGAACAAAATTGCATAGCTTCATACTATATAGTAAATTCAAAATTGTATGCGAGTAAAGTAGTATGTCTGAATTTATAGTATTTGAAAAACAGTATGTGAGTTGCGAGAAGTACCCGGATGACCTACAACTTCCAGCGAGAATTCTGAAGTGCAAGTCTGATGATACTACCATACTATATAGTCACTAAAAACAGTATGCGAGACAAGTAGTACGCTGGAAATCATATAATTCGAAAAACAGTATGCGAGTTCCGAAAAGTACCCGCATGACCTACTACTTCCAGCGAGATTTCTGAAGTGCGAGTCTGAATGCTATGCTATCCCAGGATGCCACGAAAGAGAATTCATAAATGGATGTCACGTGATGATGACAAATGGCGGATGTAGTTCGTCCAAATTACGTTCATTGTATATAGAACGTACTTTTCTAAGTCTTGTACTAATTCAAATTTAGTACATAATTGAGTAGTAGACGATTTCAGACGCAGCCTAAATGTAACGTTACTTCTCTGGTCGCCACAACAGGTGGGACATCCATGATGAAAATGATCAATTTAAATGAGCCTTTTTAAAGTCCAGTTTTCAGTCTTCATTTCAACTATTGTTAAAATTTTATACCTGTAAACTAAAACAATCATAAATTGTCACTATGTATTATGAAGACATTTCTGTGTTTATTTTAATGTGCCATTTCATGAAGGATATTTACCTGCGATAAATTGTTGTAAGGGTTTACGCCGGTTTACGCTCAAAATTACCAAGTCAGCTTTTAATTTCAGTTAACATTTCTTTTTTATTTTACTTGAATTAAGTTTTAACAATAACACTTGTTGTGTACAGGCGAAAACTATATATGAATAAGTGCGACATGGAGCAACACAATATTTCTTCTTACAATGAAGGTCAAGTTCAGTTTTGTTTTGGTCTCCACGAACGGTAATTTTAGAGACAAACACATCCAACAATTGATGTTTTTATGAAGAATAACTATGTCATACAGGTTTGGAACAACAGGAAGGTGAGCAAACGATGACAGAATGTTCATGTTGGACAGAACTATACCTTTACACGTCAGTCACACAGCGACTTCCTGAATCCTTTCCCGCCAAAATAATCAGCGAAGCAAACAGAGTTTGAGACCAAAAAATCGTTTGGTCTCTGCATGATTCCGATTATTTTGACAGTTTTATCAGCTCACAGAGTCGCCAGATCAAACTAATGAAGGTTTCCTCAGTCTCCGGCTGTCTGTCTCTCGGTCTCTCGTTAACTCTCTGCAGGACACGCGCGCACCTGTCAGTCCGCGCGCCCGTCACACGCGCGCACACACACAAATAAATCTGGGTCACTCCGACTGGGCCGAGAAAAAAAAAGCCATCCTTCACCTGTCCAAAACTATTCTGTCCAGTCACTCACACACAAATACAGAGTCCTGATTTTGTCAAGACTGAATCAGACTATACTATACGCCTCCTTTCGCTTCAAAATCTAGAAAAGGTTTAGATACATGTATTAATGCAGCCTTAAAGTAATATTTACTACACAAATATTACAGTTGCAATGTTAAAAAAACATGTTTATTAATGTAGTGAGATTTCAGAGGGGGTAAATTGACTGAGGGCTCCAACAGCCAGTGGGGATGAAGCTGTTGAGTAGTCTAGCCGAGCAGGCTCTTAATACTCCGAAACCTTCCTGATGGCAGCAGCTGGAAGAAACCGTGGAAGGGATGTGTCAAGTCTTTCACAATACTGCTAGCTTTGCTGGAGCACCGTGAGGGGAAAATGTCCTGAATGGAGGGATAGATCTTTTCAGCTGTGTTCACGGTGTGCTGGAGGGTCTTGCGCAGTATGATGCAGCTCGTCCGCATGCTCTCAATGCAGAATGTGGTGAGGATGGTTGGAGGGAGACTAAAAAGTGCTGGGTTCGACACAATTCCTTCATGTCCCAACACAAATCAATTAACTCGATCGTTTACAAATTTAAGTGGATCGAACCATGTTGTGCTTCAAAAAAATAATAATAATAAAATAAAAAAACTCAAGAATTGTGTGTTTCAACTTATTTTAAATACGTACTTTGAGTGTATTTAGGGACTACGATGATACAAATCCGGGGAAAATTAGGCTGATTAAACTATTTCAAACCTAAATGTAAAATTTAACAAAAAATTATAATAACAATAAAAATAATAATAATAATAGTTATGAACTTTGTGTGCTAAATGACTATTTTATAATATTAACTGCAGATCAGCTACATTAATTGATAGGCCGCTTATATAAAAATCATAAAAAGGGATGGGAACACAAACAAGATTTGTAAAGTGTCCAACCCTGTATATAGAAAAAGTATCTCTATATACATACATGCATGCATGCATTTCAAGAGTTAAGGCTCAAAATAGACTATAAATTCCTTTTAATATATATATATATATATATATATATATATATATATATATATATATATATATATGTATGTATGTGTGTGTGTGTGTGTATATATATATATATATATATATATATATATATATATATATATATATATATATTTATATATATATATATTTTTTAAAGGCATTTCTTGAACCAAATATTTGTCTTCAGGGTTTATATCGTGTGCATTCTGCAAACACAAGCCAACATTAAAAAAAAAAATAAAATAAAAACATTTAAATGATATAATATACACTGGATTGTTTTAACAAAGAATAGAAGTACAGAATATTAAATAATATATTACATATTCGTGAGTAGCATTATTAACATACAATTCTACATATTATACATTTATAAATAATTAGAATAGCTCAGTGGTTAGCACTGTCGCCTCACAGCAAGAAGGTTGCTGCTTTGAGCTCCGGGCAGTTGCCATTTCTGTGTGGAGTTTGCATGTTCTCCTCGTGTTGGTGTGGGTTTCCTCCAGGTGCTCTGGTTTCCCCCACAAGTCCAAAGACATGTGCTATAGGTGAATTGGCTAAACTAAAATTGTCCGTAGTGTACGTGTGTGAATGTGAGAGTGTTTGGGTGTTTCCCAGTACCGGGTTGCAGCTGGCATTCGCTGTGTAAAACATATGCTGGATGAGTTGGGGGTTCAATCCGCTGTGGCGACCCCAGATTAATAAAGGGACTAAAAGCCAGGGGTGTCAAACTCAATTTCTGGAGGGCCGAAGCCCTGCACAGTTTAGTTCCAACCCTGCTCCAACACACTTACCTGTAGGTTTCAAACAAGCCTGAAGAACTCAATTAGTTTGATTAGGTGTGTTTAATTAGGGTTGGAACTAAACTGTGCAGAGCTGCGGCCCTTTTGCAACTGAGTTTGACACCTGTGGACTAAGCCAAAGGAAAATGAATGAATATAACATGTATATCCATTACATGCACACATTATTATAAAAGGTTGATTTGTCAGATTTAGCTAATTTCTGGGTATATATTTGTCACCAAAATATGATTAAAATATACTCATATACAGCTTAAATTATCCAATAAACTTCAAAATCTTAAAAATTACTGTGTAATGATATACACTCACCGGCCACTTTATTAGGTACATCTTACTAGTACCAGAAAGGACCCCGTTTTGCCTTCAGAACTGCCTTAATCCTTTATGGCATAGATTCAACAAGATACTGGAAATATTCCTCAGAGACTTTGGTCCATATTGACATGATAGCATCACGCATTTGCTGTAGATTTGTTGGCTGCACATCTATGATGCGAATCTCCCATTCCACCACACCCCAAAGAAGCTCTATTGCATTGAAATATGGGGACTGCGATGGCCATTTGAGTACAGTGAACTCATTGTCTTGTTCAAGAAACCGGTCTGAGACGATTCAGACTTTATGACATGGTGCATTATCCTGCTGGAAGTAGCCATCAGAAATTGGGTACACTGTGGTCATAAAGAGATGGACATGGTCAGCAACAACACTCGGGTAGGATGTGGCATTACACGATGCTCAATTGGTACTAACAGGCCCATAGTGTGACATGAAAATTTCCCCCACACCATTACACCACCACCACAGCCTGAACTGTTGATACAAGGCAGGATGGATCCATGCTTTCATGTTATTGATGCCAAATACTGTCCCTACCATCCAAATGTTGCAGCAGAAATCGAGACTTGGTTGTAACAAGTGGTCATTTGAGTTACTGTTGCCTTTCTATCAGCTCATGCCATGTTCAAAGTCGCTTAAATCATCTTTCTTCCCCATTCTGATGCTCGGTTTAAACTGCAGCAGATAGTCTTGACCATGTCTTCTACCATGTGATTGGCTGGTTAGAAATTAGCGTTAACGAGCAGCTGGACAGGTGTACCTAATAAAGTGGCCGGCGAGTTTACAGGATCTAGGCAGTGAAAAAGCATCAAATATAGGAAACGCATCGCCCCCTGACGGCCACAGAGGAAAACTACAGACAAACACTTCATCCACAGTCAAAGAAACAGCCAGTTTGTTTATGCTACAAATGTAATTTTTATTAATTTAAATAATATGCAAATAAAGGGTCTATAATGATCCACAGAAAAGACATGCTTTGTGACTCATTTTTAAAATGTGTATATATATTTATATTTAGATTTGTCCAGCAGAAATCTATCCAGAGTGAAGACCGAAGCCTCTGACGACGAGAAAGAGAAGACCTTTACATTCAGGAGCGTCTGCCAGAGGACACAGCTTTGAAGGTTTATCCGAAAAACGCTCGGTGATAAAAGTGTACGGAAACCAGATCCATATTCAAACCTCGAAAATTAAAATTGCTTTTTTCCATTTCTTTTTTTCTTATAAAAACTTCCATTTCCAAAAACAAGAACCTGGATACATTTCTACTTTGCAAAATTAACATTTTTACTAAGAAAAAAAAAAAAGAAAGAAAGAGACAGATAAGGAAAAAAAGAAACGCACAAATAGAGAAAGAAAACAAACCCCAACGTTTAGAATAACAATAGTAACCGACTCCCTTTGGTAAAAACTGTAATAAACCATCCTTTTCACATGTGGTTCTCGCTTCTTTTTCTTTCCTTTCTCCCTAAACGCCACACTAACACACTAAACACAACACACATCTGGCATAAAAAAGGTCTGGCGATATTTACACTGTATTTACAAACTATTGAAAGTGTGTGTGTGTGTGTGTGGTTCACAGGTCATATTCGCTGAAAGCTGGTGCAGAAATAAGTGTTTTTCTGATTCATAACATGTCTTCTATCTTTTATTGCTGTCCATTTAAATCTCTCTATATTTTTTGAAACTTGTTTCATTTCTAAAAGTGAAATCCGGTTAATTCTAATGCTGAATTCGCACCTCAGATTTTAGTTCACGTTACAGTTAAGTGCACTTATCCCCCGAAACATTTTTGCTTTATTTTCATACACATGTTCTGCCTGTGAAGCTCAAAATAATATTAGTAAGAAGAATCCAATGTATTAGATTTGTGGGCTGGTCTAAACTGTGAGAGCTGTGCTGATTGGTCCGGCTGGGTTTGACTGACAGGTCTTCACCCCTGTGTTTTTTTGGCACTGGGTGATCTGCGCTTTATGCAGGAGCTTATAAAAAAAAAGAGGAAAAAAAGAAACACTGTTAAAAACCTCAACGTGGGTCACATGAAATCTCACCGCTGAGCTCCGCCCTCATCAGCCGAGCTCCGCCTTATCCACTGATGTCACTGGGGCTTGTTGGTGGGGCCGTATTTGACTCTGTATTTGTTGATGCGCTGGAAGTGAAGGATTTCGGGGTCACAGCTGGTGGAGCAGGGCAGCAGTCCCTCTCGACCCTCTCCCATGAGCCAGCGGCTGGTTTCGGCAGCCATGTCCCGGGTCACGTGCTCCTTGGCCCAGCGCTGACTCCAGGCGTGAAAGCGCTGGTGCAGACGGGTGCTCACTCGTTCATGAGACTGACAGACAGACAGACAGAAACAGAGAGAGATAAGAGCTACTCACGTTTGCTGTTGCAAAATGTATTTATTTGTAAATATGCGTGTTCTCTTAATACTGGGATGCAGATAGAAAAAGACTAAAGGTAAGTTTTTAAATCATATTAAAATTTGTGACATTTTCTAATGGTTTTATTATCAATATTAAACCATATTTTTAATAATTCACATTTTATTAATGAATTCACATAATAAATGTTAAAAACAATATTGCACAATTGCAAACTGAGAACGTATTTTATTATACCATTTAAAAAGTAATATATAAACGTATTACATTTAAATATTAAACACTATTAATATTGCATTAATTAATGCTACTAAAATAAATGTTCCTAGGCATACAGGCATTAATCAAAGGAAAAAGAGATTTATAGAATGCATTTATATAATATATATACCGTTTAAAAAATAAAGGGAACACTAAAATAACACATCTTAGATCTGAATTAATTAAACATTCTTGTTAAATATTTTATTCCAGGGGTTCTCAACTGGTTTGGCCATGGGACCCACATTTTTACATGGTCATCAAGCCGAGACCCAAATTTTTAGGAACGAGTCTGAGTCTAAGAATTATATTTTATTTGTGTTTATTTGTTAACATGAACAAGTAGTGACAGATAAATCATAAGAAAATCACCAAGACTTAAAAAATAAACAATATTTTACAGCTGTCATTTAACAAAATGTATCAAATTATAGAAATATTACACAGTGAAAACGTCAAATACTGTAAACAGTGGTTAGGAAGAGGAAAAGTTAAGTTACCATGAACTAAACTGAACTGTTAATTAAACGTTAACGCTGACGCAGTTGAACAGAACAAACCAGCAAATTAAAGTAAAATTATTAAAATAATCATCATAATCACCATTTTTATAATAATCACCAGTTATTTGCTCTTCTGCTTTTGTGTGGGCTTTCTTGGCCTTGGCTACACGGTGAGCACATTGAGATGAGCGGAGTGCCTGTACTTGTTTTGAACATGAAGATGTTCGGCACTTTTGTGATGCCCTCAGCTATTGGAGTTGTCTTTGAAAATAGTCCACAGGTTTGTCCTTGCAACTGGGATGTTTGGTTTTCTAAATGTCGTTTTAATTTACAAGGTTTTATGCTTTCTTGTGAGAGCACCTCACTGCACACTGAGCAATTAGCCTTTTTTGTCGTCAACATATGTAAATCCACACTTAACATATTCGGGGTCGTACTTGCACTGAAATATCACATGTCAGACGGTACGGTTGTCGCACGCGCATTTAAAAATGAAACTTTTGTTGTTTTTTTGATCACACACTCCGCGACCCACTGAAAATGTTCCCACCAATTGAGAAACACTGCTTTAATCTTTACATAGCTGAATGCGCTAGCAACAAAATCACGCCAAAATGATCAACAAAAATCTAATTTATTAACCCCTGAAGGTCTGGATTTGGAGTCACACTCAAAATTGAAGTGGAAAAACACACTAAAGGCTGATCCAACTTTGATGCAAAACAAGTCAAAATGAGGCTCTGTAGTGTGTGTGGCTCTCACGTTGACCTCCCTACAGTGCCTGGGCATGCTCCTGACGGATGGTCTGAGAAATCTCATGCCAGACCTAGACTAAAGCATCTGCCGGCTACTGGACAGTCTGTGGTGCAACGTGGCATAGGTGGATGGGGCGAGACACGATGTCCCAGACGTGCTCAATTGGATTTAGAGAATGGGCGGGTCAGTCCATAGCATCAATGTCTTCGTCTTGCAGGAACTGCTGACACACTCTAGTCACATAAGGTCTAGCACTGTCTTGCATTTGGAGGAACCCAAGGTCAACCGTACCGGCATATGGTCTCACAAGGGCTGTTTCTCAATTCCAAGAATGCAGAGAACGGACTTGTGTTCTTGTGGAGAGCCGTCTTGCCAGGTGTCCTCGGAAGAACGAACTCAGGAGACCGCGAGGGCAGAGAACGCGTCCTTTGAGAAATGAGATGCTGCATTCTTCCTGATGGTCACGTGATCTTCACGTGTTTTAAATAGTAAATTATTTAAACATTACAGCATTCATACAGCGATTTATTGTTTTTCCCCTTTTCAAAATATATACTTTGCATAAAAACATTATAAATATACTCTGCACAATATAAATAAAACAGATTTTAATACAAATTTCAGCAAACAAACACCCTTAATGTGTTTATTCCTTTATTAAGATGTTAATGGTAATGTTTACTTTCACCGTTTCATTTAGGGAAACTCCTGATATAAATAAGTCATATCTAAACTTTAATAATAAATCTAAATAAAATGCAGCGCTTCCCACCTCCAGTCGCAAAGACTTCTGGGACTTCCAGAGCGAGTTCAATGCTCAAGTCTGCATCAGTGCGTCCTCGATATCAAGAACACATCCGGGAAGTTTCACGCGTCCTCCGTATTTGCGGTCTTGAGTATTGGAACTGAACTTAGGCTGCTGATAATGACGTTGCACGAGAACACGAGGATGCAAGACCGCTGAAGAACGCATATTGAGAAACAGCCAAGGGGTATGACGCGCACACACACACCTATCTATCAGTTCGTGACTATATTGTTTTTGTTTTGTTTTTTGTTGTTTTTGTTGACGTTTCTTTGTATTTGTATGATCCCAATGTATGTACCTTTTTGCATATTCTAATGAAATAAAAAAATAAAAATAAATAAAGTGTTGCTTCCCTAGCGTGCAGTTTGATTTCATAAGTAGTGACTGCATAACTACTGTGATGTCATAGTTCTCAGTGTGTCTGTGTTTACCTGATGGGCTCTGAGCAGCGCAGTGCGTCTGTACATGTAATCCTCGGATTTGAAGACGTACACCATCTTGTAGGAGTTGAGTTTGAACATGCACTCCATCTTCATGCTGTCTGCGTTCTCCTTTCTCTCTCCGTCCTTCAGCTCCTTCTCCTGAGCCTCGCAGCCTCGCTGACACTTGCGGATGCGTCGCAGGTTTCTGCACATATGAACACCAACCAACACATGACTTTCACGAACTCAAAGTGTGTGTTGCACGTAGAAACGGCGAGACTCGCCTGGCTGGACTCACCTGGGCAGAAACACAGGCTTCTGGGAGAGATGATCCTTCAGGTCTGGAGACGTGAAATCAGCCGACAGATATCGCATGACATAATCGGACCAGCGCTAGACAGGATCAAGAGAGAACAGGAGGGTTGATTTTCATGGTGGTTTATGGAAACATTTGCTTTCATATAACGACAGTGTTTTTCGGTGTTAAGTATCATTAAAGGGCACATAGTTTACCCCATTTTTATGATTTAATATTAAGGTTCTTGAGTGTGCTAGTTTAGGTTCAGTTCAACACACAGTTCAGACGCTTTTATTATAATGTTTAAAAGTGTCATGTTGGGGGCGTGTACACCGCTCGCTACTTTAGAGGCGTGTTGCTTTACATGAAAATTAGTTTCGGCTTCCCGCCCAACGTTACAAGGGGGCGAAGCCAAGAGCTCCCACGCTCTGTGTTTGCAGACAGGCAGACAGAGAGAAGCTAAGCTACATGAGAGGAGCCGTACATGTATGACTCGGACACAGACCAAGCAGAGAGTACAAAATCATTTGTCTTTGTATATTTTTACAGCCAACTGTGTGCTAGTTTCAAGTGCCGAGCTTGTACACCGAGACTAATAACCACCCACACTGAATTCTCTTTTGACTGAGGCATCGGATGCGCCGCTCGAAGCCGCGACACGGCACACCAGACACTCTCAGTGACATGAAGTGTCCCGAGTAGTCTCGCTACGCATTCCAGAACTCCAAACACAGGCCTCCACCAGGGCAAACACAGCAGCGCCCCAAGTCAGCGGCCGCCCGCGGCGCCCACCCTGACAGAACCCCCGACAGAACTCCGAAATGCACAGCGCCACGCAAAGAGGCACTTCTGGTGTGCGACCTGCAGGCAACTTTGTTATTTTATTTCCAATGGAGAGACGCGCACACGAGGCAACGCGCTTGTACTTTTCCAGCTGCACCTAGTTAAGATCACAGGGAGCTTCTGTGATGTGACTGGCTGAAGTTTAAAGGGTCACGAAACACCAAAACACATTTTTTGAGCTGTTGACAGTCGTATATGTGTCCCACACTGCTAAAGACACTATTAGCACACCTATATTTCACTAAAAAGTTTAAATTGGTTGTTTTTGCGTTATTTTAAGCAAATCCGTACTTGCTGTTTGAAACGAATTTTTGAAGCTGCGTCACGGTCATGACATAATAGCGTGTATTCCAGCGTGCAGACTAGGCGTCTGTGCCAGAGTGAGTCTTATTACATCTTACAGTGTGATGCATTAATGCATGAGTAAAGCTTGGTTAAAACCAATCAGTGCGCTCTATTGTGCAACTTCATTAATATTCATTACTGTCACAGTGTTTAGACAACAGAGACGCCACGTTGTGTTGGCAAAACAAGCATGAAGTGTTGCTTTTATAGTTTGCTGCAGTTAAGTTTTGCTTTCATTTTCTCTCTGTGAGAGCTCAGTCTCACGTGTGGATTAACAGTGTACGCAACGCTTGACAACAATAACTTAACTTACGTGTCTAAGGAGGAACATTGTTTACCTGAGAGCTGTTCTCATCTGCAAACGCTGAGATCTGGATTCGCTTGTAGTCTTCTCTTCATAAAGACGCGGCTCTAGTTGCTGCTGGTTGTCCTGTCTCTACAGATTTGGTAAGTGAGCGACCAGTGCTCTTTGTCTACCTGCCGTGTGCATCTAAGGTTCCGGGAAATGCGGAGGTTTTTTTTCTCTCATTCACCGTGCGGTATCAAACATTGCATGAAAAATACACACTTAGAGCAGTTCCTTGAATTAAATATCTCGTTTGTCGCGAGGGGCATGAATGAATTGCCTGTATGAAAGAGCCAAACTGCAGTTAAAGTCCACCATTTAATAATTTGGCAACTAATTCGACTACAGATGCCCATGTAGGTTAAACACCATCACTTTCTCCCGTGTGTGTGTTTTGACTCTGAAACTCGCGCGTGCAATAATAGACACTCCCACACCCTCCCACTTTAGTTCCTCCGACACTCCCCCCTAAACAGAGCTGGACACGCCCACTTTTCTGACTTTTTCCAAAGTAGAGGTGTGAAAACACATATGAAAAGTACATATGTTTGCAAACCTACCAAAAGGTACAAACAATAATTCAGATTAAAGCGATAATGTGGAGAATATTGATCTTGTGTTGAGCCCAATGAGCCTTACATTTGAAAATAGAGCAAGGGTGTTCCTTTAGTGATCTCGCTTTGACTCACACGCTGAAAATGGCAGACGTGAAACGACAAACTGAGAATATGGTGACGCGCCTGTCAATCAATATTGGTGGGTGGGGGGACCGCACTTCTAAGTAAAAACCGCACTTCGATCTAAAAACCGCTCCAATTATTCCACTGTTTTTATGTTGTTAAATTGGGAAAAAAAGGACTGTGTGTGTTTATATCACCCCAATATGAAGGTCTATGCACTATACTTACACACGTCTTTCCAAACAGCTTGAAAAGTGCATTTTTCACCATAGGTGCCCTTTAAGTAACTATTCGCTCACCTCGATCTCCATCGGCCCATCTGAGTTTTCTTCCTCTGTGTCCAGCAGCTCCACCGTGAGCTGAACGTTTCCTCTGCTCTTCAGGAACATCAGCTGGAGGGCCAGAAAGACAGATTAGAGACTGTAAAAACAGACAGCAGCTTTATCTCCGCTCATGTGCAGACTCTGACCTTAAAGCAGTTTTCATCAGACATGAGCTGCTCTGCTTTGCGCTGATATGAGGCTTCAGCCTGAGCTCTGCTGCTCTGAGTGAGCAAAGACCCTCCGGTGGACGAGTGACCACTCTCAACCAGGTACAGCTCCGTCACCTGAACGCAGATCTCCTCGCTCACAATGTGCTGGAGCTAAAGGTAGACAGATAGAAAGTTATAAAAGAATCGATGAAGCGAGCACATTAATGTCTGGATCAGTGCAGACAGACCTGTCTAGCTATATTCTGGATGAGTTTGTCCATGGTGAAGGCGATGTAAGCGTGAATGGTGAACATCTCTCTCAGAGAATCCTCATATTGAGATGCCTCCATATTCCCATCCAGCAGGTTTCGCACCATCTCCAGAAACGCAGAGTAATAATCCTCCACTTCCACATCCACTGAAACAGAACGTGAAAGTATGAGCTAAAAATCACATACGGCTATAGAAGAAAAACAAGGGGACACTTTGTATCTATTATTGAAGAGCTGGAGTAAAAATGTTCTATATGTACAGCATTTTTTATATGCTGTAAGTATTAGTATTGTTTGATATGTATTAAATGTATAGTTTTAGAAATGCAGAGTAATAATCCTACACTTTAGGGCTGCACAATACACTACCTGACATAAGTCTTGTCGGCCATCCATTCTAGTTGATTATTTGGTATCAGAAGTGGCTTATATAAAAGTAAAAGCCACTAGATTACACTTATTTTACCAAAATAAAATATGATCATGCTAAAATATGATCATTTTTAATGATTTAATTAGGACAATAAGGTCTGACTTTGGATAGACAAAAGTCCCTTAACAGAAATAATGTCCAGCATAGAATATAAAGTCAAGAATGAATATTGTGTATGACTCCCATGAGCTTAAAGGACTGCATCCATACATCTCTGCAATGACTCAAATCACTGATTAATAAAGTCATCTGGAATGGCAAAGAAAGCGTTCTTGCAGGACTCCCAGAGTTCATCAAGATTCTTTGAATTTATCTTCAATGCCATCTTACCCCTGACACGTTCAACAATGTTTATATATGGTGATTGGGCTGGCCAATCCTGGAGCACCTTGACCTTGCTTGCTTTCAGGAACTTTTATAAGGAGGCTGATTTAATTAATTTAATAAAAAGGAACATGAAATTAGCCTTTTTTTTTTACTTTTTAATAAATCTGTTTTTAAACTTGCTTTTAAAAGACGTAATATTTATTTTTGAGTTCATATTTAATATTTAATTAATTTAATAAAAAGGCACATTAAATTTAACAAAAACTTACATTTTTTTTTCTTTTTAATTTTTTTTATATTTAATTAAATTAATTTCTCTTATCTAATTTTTAAAATTATTTTTTTAAATTAATTAACCCTTAAAAAAAACTTGATTTGTATTTGTATTTAATTGAAATGAATTTATTTTTAATATTTAAATAATTTAATAAAGGCACATGAAAACATTTTTTTGTATTTACTTTTTTATTCATTCATTTTCTTTTTGGCTTAGTCCCTTTATTAATCCGGGGTCACCAAGTCAACCTATCCAACACAGCTGCAACCCATCTTTGGGAAACATCCACACACACACACACACTCATTCATTCACTAAGGACAATTTAGCCAACTCAATTGACCTGTACTGCATGTCTTTGGACTGTGGGGGGAAACCCACGCGAACGCAGGGAGAACATGCAGACTCCACACAGAAACGCCAACTACCCCTGCCGAGGCTCAAACCAGCGATGTTCTTGCTGTAAGGCGACAGCACTACCTAATGCGCCACTGCGTCGCCTGCATTTACATTATAAATTTAATATTTATATTTAATTCAATTCCCATTAAATTAATTCAACGAGGAACAATTAAACTACATAATTTTTACTTTTTAAAACTAATTGAATATTTTAAAATTAAATTTGTATTTAATATTTAATTAATTTAATAAAAAGGCACATCAAATTTAACATGAAATTAAACTTTTAAAAAAATTAATTTAATATTTAATTAAATTCATATTTAATATTTAAATATTTTAATAAGGCACATGAAATTACACTAATTTTGACTTCTAAATAAATTTAATACGTATAATTAATTCATACATTAAAATTAATATTTAATTAATTCTACTTTGAACAATTAATTTAATATTAATATTTAATTTAAAGTCATATTTAATATTTAATTAATTTAACAAAAAGGCATGAATTAACACGAAATGTAACTTTTTTTTTACTTTTCTTTATTTTTAATTTGTTTAATTAAATTAAATACATATTTAATGTTTAATTAATTTAATAAAAGGTACAATCAATTTAACAAATTAAACTATTATTATTATTATTTTTAAATTTAATATTTATATGTAATTTAATTTATATTTAATATTTAATTAATTTAATAAAAGGCACATGAAGTTTAATATCAAATTACACTTAATTTTTTAAGAATACAACCCATCTAAACCCCGCCCTGTCAAACACTCTATTGTTCTCTGATTGGTCAAAAATATCCCGTTAGGTTATATATTTTCGCTACTCACTGGGCTCCTTCAGACGCAGCTGAACGGCGGTGTTTTCATTTTTGTCTCGTTTGAGTCCAAGCACCTCCCGCTCCCACTCGCGCTCCCTCATGTCCTCTTCGATCTGCCGCTCGGCCTGCGCGTAAAGTCTCAGCAATCGCGAACACAAGATCTGATGCAGCCGAAGAAAGATGTACCAGTTGTTATTGACGTAAAACAGATTATACGCGTCCTCACAAGAGCGAAGCCGCTGAGCCGTGGACGCGCTAAACAGCAGTTTGGATTTAGTAGGGCTTGCGCTAGCTCCTCCAGCGAGCCCGTTGTGCTTTTTGGATGCCCCTTCATCGAGCTCCATGTCTTCCTCTTCGTCCTCTTCCTCCACGTCTGACAAAACTCCTCTCTGGGCGAACAGCATGTCGGGGATGAAGTGGTAGACGATCTGCTTGATTTTGTATTTGTCCTCTTTGTTGATGCTGCTTTGGCGTTTCACGTGGTGAATTATTAGCGCCGCCGCATCTTCTAAAATCTGATGGTCTTCGTAGGTTAGCGTCAGGTGAGGGCTGCTAGCCGTTGTGCTGCTGTTGTCCTCCGAAACCTGCTCTTGCCGCTAAACAAACAAACAATTAAACACATTAGACTGTTTTACAGACCATTGTTGCACCAACCGTGCAGTCAGCAATTGTGTTACACAAAAAATTTAACATAATAGCAAAGCAACGTTTGACTGGAAAAAAAGCACACCAAATGTACAATAAGCGATAATTTTTGGGGTTTAAAGCTCTCCACATTGCTGAAAAAAAGTTTCTGAGTGTGTCATTAGAGAGGCGCTAGCAGCTGTTGTCCTCTGAAGCCTGTTCTCACCAGTAAACAAACACACTAACGATTAAACATTACCGATGCCATGCTCGAATCGAAATAAGTCCGAATTTGACCGTTTTTCTACCAATCGTGCAGTCAGCTTTGTTTTTAAGTTTAATTATTCATATTAGAGGGCTGCTAGCAGTTGTGTTGCTCGTCTTCTGAAGCCTGTTCTTGCCGCTAAACAAACACACAAACAATTGAATATTTTAAGGATGCAACATTTGACTGAGCAGAAATCTGAATCTGATCATTTTTGCACAAATTGCACAATCAGTGATTGTTTTTAAGTTTAAAACACTCAAAATTACTGGAAAAACACTGCGCGATTCTGAGTGTGCTTCATGTTGGTGAGTGGAGTTGACAAACCACCTATAGGTAGGGCTGCACGATTCTGGCTAAATTGAGAATCGCAATTTTTTCAAAATAAAGATCACGATTTTCTCACGATTCTGCAAAAGTAAAATCAAGGTTAATATAAGCAGGCAATTATTATTGTTATTTCTCAAACATATGTTAAAACAACAGTAATAATATTATGTGTAGCTCTACTGTTAAAATGCTGAATTTTGTATAGACCTGGAACGGTGGACTTGAACAGACATTAAATTGGTCCTGGTCATTAATGCACCATACAGTGATGACATCAAGACACAACTATTCATAATTCTGACGTTGTATTATGTTTGAGACATATGCCATTGACATCTGTCATTGACAACATTATAAGACCATTTTTTATACTGGTAAAATCTGACATTTGTCATTATCAGATTCCCTCTTGCATTGTATTCAATATTACATAGGCTACAGTAGTTATACTGACACTGTTAAACATTTATTCTCATGCACAACACTGTGTTTGCTATGAAAGAAAAACATTAAATGCTTGTTGCAATCCTTACTCTAAAATGCGATATGATTATTTAAATGATGTGCACGCTTTTGGTTTCATTTTCACTTCCAAGTGCGGTTCATACGTACCGTACGGCTCCCAAATGATTACTCTCTTCAACAAACTGAATGCTATTTACTTTAACTTTATTACCTGTTATTCACAGCATATGCAGGTTGTTAACTAAAGTAGACTTCATTCACATGCACGCGACCGCCCTCTCTATGGTAACAGGTCACGCGATCTTTTTTCGATTAATTGTGCAGCTCTACCTGTAGAAATCACTCTCTTTTTCAAACGCACCAGACACATTCCTACAAACACTCTGAAAGGACTCAATTATAAAAATAATACAAAAACGCTATTTTTTTTTAGACAAAAGCATGGGCTATATGAAAGTCAATTATTCAAACTACATTACAATAAATATATATATATATAAATATGTATATATATATATATATATATATATATATATATATATATATATATATATATATATATATATATATATATATATATATATATATATATATATATATATATATATATATATATTAGGGATGTAACGGTATTGTAAATACCGTCATACCGCAATATTAATTTTTTTCGATATTACCGTACTGAATAGCGGTGTTGTCGCGCGAGTTCTGATCAGCTGTGTTGTCGCGCGCGTATTGTAAAGCGCCGAGGGGGGGTTGAGCGCGCATAATCAAGAGAGGTGTTGTCGCGCACCTACTGAAGGGCTGGACGGAGGTTGTGTCGCGTCGCGGGGGCACTTTTGATCGTTTTGGAAGGGCATTTTTTATCCAAGACTAAAAAGGGCATGTGCACTGCACAGGTTGAGCCCTATGTGTGCACGTGCCTGCAAGTTGGGGAATACGACTAATAGCAGTCATGGGGACTGCAGAAACACAGCACACTGTTCAGATTGATGCAGACATTGACTTGTACCGCAAAGAGACCTCTATCTCGCTCATGGTTTGTCTTCTCAAGTGGGGAAAGACAATGCACAACGTTACCCCACTGCTGTCAACATGGGCCAAGTCATATCTCTGTCCCAGAAACCTCAGTCCCAAATGAGAAGGTTTTTTTTCTGTTGCAGGGGACATTGTAAATACCCAGAGATACCAGCTTTTACCAGATTATATTTATATGATAATTTTCCTTTAAACCCATCTCTATGTAAGTAAGTGAGTGAGTGATTAAATGTTGAATGTGATGAGTTTTTAACAATACTAAATTGAAACTTTGTTTTTTTTACATGGTTTAATAATTTTTTGTTATTAAAATTGAAATTAGTGTTTCAAAGCTTACAGATAGATGACTAATTTGTATGTCATTGACACTTTTGGCACTTTTTTGGAGTATTTTCAAAAGTTTTGTTTTTCCTGTAAATGATTCAATAAATACCGTACCGTGACATTCATACCGAGGTATTACCGTACCGCGAAATTCTGATACCGTTACATCCCTAATATATATATATTCATTCATTCAATCATTTTCTTGTTGGCTTAGTCCATCTATTTATCTGGGGTCGCCACAGCGGAATGAACCGCCAACTTATCCAGCATGTTTTTTACGCAGCGAATGCCCTTCCAGCCGCAACTCATCACTGGGAAAAAAAAAATAAATTATATATATATATATATATGTATATATATATATAGAGAGAGAGAGATAGAGAGAAAAATAACTAAACACCCACAGAAAGACGCAATTCTGCATTGTATTAACATTCGTGATGTCTTCAGCATCAATTAAAAACATTATAGGGATATTTCTTGTGTTTGTGGATCACCTGAGGTTTTACATGCTTCAAAACAAATTAAGAAAAACAAATAAGCACGATATGTTAATTTAATCTCGGACAATCTCCATACAAATATATTTTAATTAAATAATTGAGCATCTATTTAAATTCATAGAATTTAGTTTTAACGTGTCGTCTTCTTTTATATCTTTGTGAAAATTATGCTTCTTCTTATTCATTTTTTCATCACAACATTGCTTGCTTTAATCCATTTTTTATTTAAGTTTTGCATTTGTATTTATTTATTAGTTTATGTTGTTCTTGTGGTGTTGTTAAAAATTTGCATAGATGCATTTGGTTTAATACTATTGTTATTAGTATTAGTTATCAGGAAAAGTTATTTGTATTATTATTAATATTACTATGTTATTAAAAAATACATTTGTCATTAACAAAAGTTAACAAAACAATATTTGGCTATATATTTAGTTTATATTATACATGCATCAATGTTGTATTTAATAATTTTTTTTTGGCTAGAAATATTGAAAGAAATACCTAAATACTTCATTAAAGCATACATAAGAAGAACCCACAGTTTTCAGATGTCAGATGACATATTCTCTGTATGATGCATATAAAATTATAGCGCACTAAAAAACAGGCTGCTATTTCTGCTGTTATACAAGCATCGTCTACAGACTTGTCTATTGTTCTTATTTTTACACCCATGTTTTTACATAGCATAATTTCATATAGGTAAAATTAAACCATAAGGTTTTTATAATTTATTTATTCAGAAAATGTATAAATAAAATGTTTATAAAAATAAGAAAGCGAAACACAATCAATATCAAAATTGGAAAATCTGCAACTAAGGATGATCTGCAATCTGAATGGTCCATAAAAAATCTGATGGAATCACTATATCACATAGCTTCTGTGGGAACACAAAGCTTCTCAACTTGCTTTAGATAATAGAGAGCGTCTCACCTCATCAAAGATGCTCTCGATCTCATTGAGGAGTGTTTTGGAGCGCAGCACTTTAGTGTCGTTCTGTTTGAAGTTAATGCCTTGATGGTCCAGAGATTTCAGATAGTACTTCTCGTTCTGCTCCCTCCAGATCTTGTTAAAGCCCCTCTGAGCTTCACGCCACTCTTCTTCCTTCAGCTTTAGCCTGAATAGTGAGATGACGGACACATAATGTTAAAATCGTTATTGCTGAAGTTATACTACTACTAATAATAATAATACTAATAATAGTTTGTGTTCAAGACATATATAATTTAAAAAAAGTTGTTAATCTATAAAATGGAAACAACAAATATAAAAAAAGTATATATATATATATATATATATATATATATATATATATAAATATTATAAATAATTATAAATAAATAAATAAATAAATAAATAAATATATATATATATATATATATATATATATATATATATATTTATATATATATATATATATATATATATATATATATATATATATATATATATATATATATATATGTACTTTTTTTTTTAAATGAACTTAAAAAAAGAAAAACTGGGCCTATTTTATTTATTATTTAATTTGATTTATAACTTTTTTAAATAATAAATTAAGGAGTATTTATTTGCAAAATGGAATACAGAATATAGTTTGTTTCAGTATCATATGCAGTTTTAATATAATATTATATTTAGTGGTTTGTTATATATTTGTAAAAAAAATGGCTAAAATAATTTAAAAAATTAAAAATAAAACTCAATTAAAAAATAAATAACCAAAGTACACAAAAACAACACTGCAAATACACACTGGTCAGCAAAGGACGGGTTATAATATATATTTTATTATTATTATACTAAATTATAAGTAAAATTATAAACTAACAAACAAAAACTTTTAATTTATTTAAACAATCATTTTAAAAAACGAAAAAAAAAAAAATACTAATAAATCAAGAAATGAGAATCTTTCATAATTTATTCAAAAAAATAACAAGGGTATATTTGTCCTCTCTAACCTCTTAAGAACGATGGGAACAGAAGCCGCCGGATTCTTCTTCAGTCCGTCTATGATGTCTGGAGCTTTGTCTCCGTATATCCTCTGTATGGCTTTTCTATGAATGATCTCAGAGAAGCCGCCCAGAGTGTTGTCTAGTCTGAATTTGGCCTGTTCCTCGGCTGACATTCGAGACAGCTTCTTTTGCGTGGTCTCCAGCACGCGAATGGTGGCCAGGTTGGTTTCCAGTACCACATCCAGCTAGAAGAGCATTAGCAAGACATTCATCACAAAAGCAAAATCACAACAGCAGCAGGTGGAGAGCGTAAACAGTGCAAGAGTGTGGAGACTGACCTCGAAGCGCTCGTCCTCACATCTGTACATGTGCTCTTCATACTGAGTCTTCTTGGAGCTCACAAAGGTGGAGTCCTCAGACCAGGAGGGAAACGAAACCCAGGTATCATTCAGCACCTAAAAATAAGAAAATAAGTCTTAAATTTATGGTTTAAAATTTTATTATTATTATTATTACTAAACACAAAACAAATAAATAATATATAATTGAAAATTAAAAGCAAAATAACACAAAAGAAAACAAACTAAAAAAAAAAAAAAACTGAAACACAAAACTTAACAAAAAGCAAACAAAAATAAATAAAATGTAAAACAACGCAAAAAACAACAAACACATACAACATAAAAACATAACAAAAAACTAAACAAAACACAACTAAACAATAAAAAACAACAAAAAACTAAACAAAAGTGAAAAACAACTAAATGAAATTAATGCAAAACACAACACAAAACAAACAAACTAACACAAAACAACAGCAAAACAAAAAACTAAACTAAATAATAAAAAAACAAACACACAAAACAAAACTGAAAAAAACACAAGACTAAATTAAACAAAAAACAATGAATGCACATGCAAACACGTGTAAAACGCAACGCAAAACAAATACACAAAAAAACGAGGAAAAGTAAACTAAACCAAAATTAAACAACACAGCAACAGAAAAAACACACAAACAAAACAATAAAAAACAAAACAAAAACAACAAAACAAAAAACAAAACCTAAACAAAAAACTAAGCAAACATGAAAAAACAATTAAACAAAAAACTGAACAAAAACTGGAAAATTAAACGGATGCAAAACAATAAAAAACACACAAAACAAAGCAAAAAAAAACTAAAATAAACAAAACTGAAAAAACAACACAACACAAAACAAAGAACAAAAAAAGCCCCACAAAGTAAAACCCTAAACAAAAAAGTAAACAAAATTAAAATAAAAAAATAACACAACAAAACAAAAAACAGAGCAAAACAAAATAGAACAAACACACAAAACAAAAATAAATCAAAAACAAACACACAAAACAGGACAAAAAAAAAAAAAAAAACACAACAAAACTAAAAATAAAACAAAACAAAAAAATAAAACAAACAAACACAAAACAAAAAGCTAAACAACTGAAAAAATAAATGCAAAACACAATACAAAACTACAACTCAACTGCTTTGATTTCTGGCCGGTTGACCTCTAATAAATAAATATATTTGATGCAAGTATGATGGTTGTGTGTAAAGCAGTGAATGTTAAATCTTCTCATACTTCTTTACAGATCGCTGTTCTGCCTGTGCACTTGGGCAGCTGGTAGCTCTTGGGTAACGCTCGGTAACTGGAGCCCAGACGCTTGCAGGAAGCGTAGTCGATTTCCATGGCAATTCCTTCAGTGGCTCTTTCCTTCGGGTACGTCTCCAGGTGTGACATCTCCTTATATCCAAGGAAGTTCTTAAACCAAGTGAACAGCTCAGGAAATTTGCTGGGGAAACATTAATAGGAAGAACATAAACACACTACTGCAAATAAAGATATTAGAGCAGTTCTTGACATTAATCAATCAATCAATCAATAAAATAAATAAATACAGAAAATAAATAAATAAATAAACTATATGCCCAAAAAACAAAAAAAAAACAAAAAAAAACTTTAATCAAGTCATTTATATTATTAAGTCAAAATCTCACTATTGAAAAACGGGTATTATATTCTATTGATTTTATTCAATTTAAATCAATTTAATTAAATTAAACTACACAAGCTTTATATATATCTACATATATAAATATTAGGGATGTAACGGTATTGTAAATACCGTCATACCGCAATATTAAATTTTTTCGATATTACCGAAGTCGCATGACTCGGTAAAACTATAGGTCTTCTGAGAAAATTTGCTCAGGCGAATGAAGCGAACGGGAGGTAGCTGAAACTTCATTTCCCATCAGCCCCGGCGTGGCCATAATCCTTTGCGGTCTGTTGTCGCTACAGATCCAGTAATGCGGAAATGGAGTGTGCTGCTAGTAGCGGAGATGAAAAAAAGATGGAAATGATCGAACCTAAAGCGGGTGTTGTCGCCGCGCGCGTGCTGAATAGCGGTGCTGTCGCGCGCGTTCTGATCAGCTGTGTTGTGGCGCGCGTATTGTAAAGAGAGGTGTTATCGCGCGCCTACTGAAGGGCTGGACTGGACGGAGGTTGTGTCGCGTCGCGGGGGCACTTTTGATCGTTTTGGAAGGGCATTTTCTATCCAAGACTAAAAAGGGCATGTGCACTGCACAGGTTGAGCCCTATGTGTGCACGTGCCTGCAAGTTGGGGAATACGACTAATAACAGTCATGGGGACTGCAGAAACACAGCACACTGTTCAGATTGATGCAGACATTGACTTGTACCGCAAAGAGATCTCTATCTCACTCATGGTTTGTCCTCTCAAGTGGGGGAAAGACAATGCACAATGTTACCCCACTGCTGTCAACATGGGCCAAGTCATATCTCTCTTGTCCCAGAATCCTCAGTCCCAAATGAGAGGGTTTTTTTCTGTTGCAGGGGACATTGTAAATACCCAGAGATACCAGCTTTTACCAGATTATAGTTATATGATAATTTTCCTTTAAACCCATCTCTATCTAAGTGAGTGATTAAATGTTAAATGTGATGAGTTTTTAACAATACTAAATTGAAACTTTATTTTTTTACATGGTTTAATAATTTTTTGTTATTAAAATTGAAGTTCCTGTTTCAAAGCTAACAGATAGATGGCTAATTTGTATGTCATTGACACTTTTGGCACTTTTTTGGAGTATTTTCAAAAGTTTTTTTTTTCCTGTAAATGATTCAATAAATACCGTACCGTGACATTCATACCGAGGTATTACCGTACCGTGAAATTCTGATACCGTTACATCCCTAATAAATATATATCTACAACTGCTAATTTAATATTTATATAGCAGTTTATGTATAATGTAGTGTATTATTTATCCTTAATAAATAGTTAATTTAAATCACAAAAAAAATTACATAAATAAAAATCCATTATCATTACCATATGTGCAAAACAAGAACAAAAATCACAGCTAAAATAAATAGAAAATTAAATTTGATATAGATAAATGTAAATAATAATAATTAATCAAATGTAAATATAGAAATTTATGTCAATTTTGAATATATGTATTATTTCACACTTTTATGTGTTGTGATTCATTATTATTTATTAATTTTTTTTTTAAAAAGTCAATGAAAAATCACTTAAAGTAAAAAAATTTATTAAATATAAATAAATGTAAATAATAATAATAATGTCAAATGCAAATATCCAAATTTGTGTCAGTTAAATAACAAATAATTTATTATTTTACAGTTTTATGTAATATGTAGTGTATTAATCTTTATCAAATGAAAACATTAAAACGTAAAAAAATTAATTAAACTGATAAAATAAATTAAAATATTATTATATTTATATCCTTTATATATATATAAATGTAAATAATAATAATATAAAATGTAAATATACAACTTTGTGGCAGTTTTTAATAAATAAATGCATTATTTAAGAGTTTTGTGTTGTGCAGAGTATTATTTATTATCAAATAAAAACAAAAGTAAAAAGAGTCAATAAAAAAATAAAAGCACAGATAAAATAAATAATTTTAATTAAATACAAATAAATGTAAATAATGATAATAATAATAACATCAAATGTAAACATACAAATTTGTGCCAATTTTGAATAAATAAATGTATTTAACAGTTTTGTGTTATGTGTAGTATTATCAAATACATATATATATTTAAATCGATATAAACTAAAAAAATAAAATCACAGACAAAATAAATTACTATTTTAATTAAATGTACATAATAATATTAATAATATTAATAATATCACATGTAAACATACAAATTTATGCCTGTTTTGAGTAAATAAATCACAGATCAAATAAATAAAAAAATTAAATATAAATAAATTTAAATAATAATACTTTAATATCAAATGTTAATATAACAATTTGTCCAATTTTTTAACAAATAAATATATTATTTAACAGTTTTGTTTTTTCTGGAGTATTATTAAAAAAAAATTTAAAATTCGAAATAAAAAAATAAAATAAAATCACAAACAAATAAATGTTAACTAAAAGTAAATAATAATATTAATAAAAAAATAATAATAATATCAAATGTGCCCGTGTTAAGTAAATAAATCCCAGATCAAATAAATAAATAATTAAATATAAATAAATGTAAATAATAATAATTTAATAACAAATGCAAATATTACAATTTGTGCCAGTTTTTAATAAATACATGTATTATTTAATTACAAATAAAAAACAAACATTACAGCAAGACAAACTTATTTTTTCAAACTATAAATCAGTTAAATAAACAAACAAACTTTAGACTAGCCTTACCCAAGGAAAGGAACCACAAGTTGCACCAGCTCAGCACGGGAAATGATCTCCTCGTTAAAGATGACCAGGCACCGAAGGAAGTTGTCATAGGCCTCAGCGCTGCGTAAAACCTTCCGCACCTACAAGCACAACAATAACAATTAAAAATGCACATATAAACTTTTCAAACAGAACACCCACAAGCGAACCAAAGCAACTCACTTTTTCAAAGAAAAGAGACTCGGTTCCTCCGCCGTGTTTTCCAGCTTCTGCTCCGGATGAATCTTTTATGTTCATTAACTTGAGCTTTTTCTGTAAAAAGAAAACTATTTGAGTATCACACAATAAAAAAAAGAAAATGAAAAAAATAAGAAATAAATTATATATATATATATATATTTTTTTTTTTTTTTTTTTTTTGGAGGGGGTGCTGTGCCCCAGTAGAGCATTATGTCTAGCCCCTGGTGTGGACTATCAAAGATGCGACCTGAGGGAGTCAGCGACACCTTTGATATTTGACATGCTAAATATCTGGAGCTGTCGGCGATTCAAAATCAAGCCATGTGAAATGACTGAAAATAACATCGCCGATCACCTACAGCTAATGAGAGAGCGGCATTCACTAGTATGGGGATCTGCAGGCCAGCGGGATGTTAGGAAGTTAAAAGGGCTTCTTTTTAGTCTTTCTGGACTTAAGAAATGGAGGAAAACCTAGTGTAAACTTGGCAGGAGCACCCGTGTCTGTCTGACATTTCATCTGAGCAAATCTTGCACTAGTATATTTATGCACACACACTGTAATCAGCAGATTTACTCCATAAAACTCCATACAAAAGCTTCAATATAATGGAAATAAAATAAAAACAGGCACAAACATAATGAAAGGGTAGTCAATTTAAAAACTAAAGAAGGGTTAAGAAATACTACGAAATCAGTTAAACATATTGAAAAGTATTGATATTTTGCAATTAATCTTTTAGTGCTACCTTGACAGGTGGTGTGATGGCTGTAGTCGAGTGCTTGCGTATCTGACAGCCATTCTGATTGGGCCTCTGTTTGTTATTGAGCTGCGGTTTCTTTACCGTTCCTCCATGATCATTACGCACAGATTCGGCTTTCTCCGCTGTCGTCTTGCCCAGCAGCTAAAGACAATTCAAGAGATGGGTTATTACAGAAAGAAATGCAATTATTATTGATATCCGCTTGTTAAGTGGTGACGTGCTGGTGACTTATGTAATGCTGTTTCCGGGTCCAAGCCGCTGCTCATTTCAGTTGAGGAATTATTTGTTTATGATCACTTTTTATTCCTATCAAACATTAAAGTAATTTTATATAAAATCATAGTGTACACAACAATCTCTGGGCTTGCTGCATAACAAACAACCAAATTTTAACAATTTATAAATAAATGAATCACTTTCTGCCCATCGGATTTTAGGCATGGACATATATATTGCGATCGTGATCGTATTAAATCGCTTTGCTAACGTTTATTATTACCATTTCATGAGTCTCCCCATTCAGTTGAATAGAGCGCTTGGACCTGGAAGCCGCTTCGCGTGGCGTCACACTTAACAAGCGGATAAACTAGAAGCATTTCTAAAATAAAGTACAACACAATATCCCTGTTAGCGGCTAAGGAAACATTTCAGATTTTCATCGGCCGTATTTTACAGAATTTAATTAGATTTTTTGTTTTATTTTATTTTTAAACATTTTTATTTAATGATTTAAAATATTTTAACATGCTGCAACTCAAAACCAAAGTATTTCTCTGAAAGGTTTATCCTCATTTACTGTCTGAATTGTTTATAAAATGTACAAAATAATAACAACAACAACAACAACAACAACAATAATAATAATAATAATAAAAATAATAAATACAATGCATTTATGGATAACTAAAAATAAATATGGGTGTCTATGTTTATGCCTTTTTTAATTTATTTTTCAATTGAGTAACGTCAAGAAGTGCAATACAAGTACAACAAATGCAAAGAAAATTTCAAAGGCTAGGGAAAGATATGAACAATATCACAGGCATACATTAAATGATATACAGGCTTGTGCAATTCGAACTTGAAAATGTACATTTATGAATATGAAATTTGGATATTAAAATAAAGAAATTGCTAAACAATGCATGGGTCTTTTTGCCTCTAGACTTTTCATAAATTCCTAAAAGAACATCTTTTTAGTGTAAACTAATATTTTCATCAATATTGACAGCAATAAAGTCAATAACATTTCACAAAAAAAAAAAAAAAAAACACAATAAGGGCAAAATCACACAAAAGAGCAATACCAAAATAAATGAACAGTGCTCTCTTGCCTCTAATTGCAAAAGCTACACCTAACATTTATAATATATATATATATATATATATATATATATATATATATATATATATATATATATATATATGTATTATATATTAATATTGTTTGGCAGGATATATTCTGTAACAAAATCTCTTTACCCTTGTTTGTTAAAGATAGCGATTAGATGGAACTCAAACTTTTTTTTCAATCAACATCACTCATAAATTGATTCCAATATGACAATATTGCATTTGGTTTTGATGCAACATCCTTCAAGAAAAGGGCCTTTATCGATCCGTTTTTTTGTGTGTGTTTATGCCTGGTTTAGTGCTAACACCTAGTGGACAAACTAAACTGTGCATCTGTGAATAAAGTTTACATCATAAGCAAGGTTATAAACATACTGTTCTAACAAGTAAAATCTAAACTAAACTTCGAGCTTTTTAATTTTAAGTAATTTCATATTCCAGTGCAATTTCTCTGTATATTTTCTTCTCTACAATGCAATTTTACCACAGTAACACTTGGTCAGAGGTTTGACTTAAGCAATAGAAAATAAATGCAAAAGTGTGACTGAACAAAATAAATTGTGACTATGCATCAATTAAAATGACCCTTAACATTAGCATGTTAGCAGTTACAGAGTGTTCTTGAAGTTTTATATTTGATTTCATTAAAACTGGAGTAAAGGAGCAGTTTACAAGGTAAATACATCATTTATTTTCTCCATACGGAAACATATCATAATTCCAATATAGCCATAATCCTTATAAAGGATTTTTAAATAATGACTGAAAAAGCTTTAAAAACAGACGTGTTGAGAGCTCTGAGATTATTAATCGAGAAAACATGCCTTTTTTTTAAACAACTATGATGCTGTACAGATAATTTGATCAATCAAAGATGTGCAGTGAGGAAAGTATTGCAAGAGAGTTTTAAAATGGTCAAAAATGACTGAAACTCTTTGGTCATTTTACAACCAGATGCTAATGGTCTGATCTGATTCAATGATCTATGCTAAGCTAAGCTAAAAGTGCTTTTACCAGACCAGAGCCAAACTCACCATAGTGCTGTTGGCGTCCGGAAGGAACTGTCCGAACTCGGAGAGCAGATCTTCCTGGTTTTTGAAGAGTTGAGCTACTTCAGCGTAAACCTCCTGTTCAGTCAGAACTGGGGTGTAGCTGCCGCCAGCTTCTTTAGCGTTACGCTGCTCCTTCTGAATAACGAAACAAGAAATCTGTAAATGCAAGGTTTCCAAATATCAAATTCACTGACAAATCCATAATTTCCCCCGACTACAAAGCTTAATTTCCGGAATTTTTAATGTAAGTATAGCATGATTGTTGTAACATTAATGTGTCTATATATTTGGTCCCATTCACTTCCCTTCATTTAAAGCAAAACAAAACTTATGCTGCTTATATATATGTGTGTGTGTATATATATATTTACACACACACACACACACACACACACACACACACACACACACACACACACACACACACACACACACACACACACACACACACACACACACACACACACACACGTATGTTTTCATATATTTGATTGCTGGTTGACAAGCAGTAAAAGAACAAAATGTAATGTAATGGATATCAACGGCTCCCAGTTTCCAACATTCTTCAAAATATCTTCTTTATCTTTCTTTTAACAGAATAAAGACTCCTGAATAGATCAGATTTTTGGGGGTGAACTGTCCCTCTAAGACTCTTCATTGACCTGGTATTTGTGCAGGATCTCCAGGAAGGACTTGTAGATGTTGGGCTGGCCCTGGAAGCGGTTCTTGATCTTGTTGACGTAGTTGATGGCGTGGTTGAACTCCACGGGCTGGTTGTTCTGCAGTGGCGGGGCGATAGGCATGCTGCTGACCGGGGTGTTGGGCTGCAGCGGTGGCGAACGCGGAGATGCGTATGGAGGGATAGACGGATTGGGCTGACTGCTCGGAGTCAAAACTGGAGACTGCAGAGGCTGGAGAGAGATGAGAAACATTAGTAAACCTGATCCAGGCTGAACATTAAAGGGTCAGTGGGCTGTATGCACAGCTAGTGCTTTTCAGCTAATGGTAAACTTCCAGTGAAAGGTTTGTGGGACTACTTTCAATTTCATGAGGTTCCTTTTACAGCCTTAATATTGAGTACCATCAGTATACAAGCTACAAATAGCGTTTAATCAAGCATCAGACTAAAATCTGACTCTTGCAACTTAAAGAAAATCAACATTAAGTGAATTAAAATCTATTCAAATTGAAGAGTTTTTTCAGCCCATTCCAACTGATTACCTTGGTTTTGGGTGCAGGTTGAGCAGGAGGTGTGGTTGCCAGATTGGGAGGGTTTGTGGTGATCTGGTTCTGCTGCTGTGAGGGCGGTGGAGGCGGTACGATGGGGATGTTCTGCACGGAGATGCCGTGAGGTGTGATGTGGTGGATCTGACCAGGTGTAGTCACGTTGACCAGGTCATTGGTCTGAACTTCAATCTTGTATCCCGGTGGAAGAAACGTGTTGAACCCCATAATGAGATCAGGGTGACCCTTAAAGAGCTGCGACACCCTGCTGATTACGCCTGGGGTGTCAATACTGCAGAATGCAGACGAGAGAGAGAGCATGAAGTGTAATGAATTATTAATCTAATCACCATTTTAAAGTGATTATTTGACACTAAAGAAGGAAGTAATGATGCTGAGAATTCAGGTTTTCATCACAGGAAAAAAAAATCTCACAATATATTATCAGGCATCACAAGCCAAATAGTTAAAACTTGAACCATCTAAAACAAAAAGGTGGTTTCCACAAGACAAACTCAAAATGTTGATCCTTATGATGCTAAATGCTGAAAAATAAATATAAAAATATATATATATTTTACTTTAGTTCATGGAAAAGTTAAAACTTTTGAAACACACAATTAAAAACAAGTTTAATAAACGTTTGTTCTCCTACATCTGAAAACCTCACCTCTGAGATTTAAACTCCTTCATAATATCCAGGAAGTCATTGTAGACCTGTGGCTGATTGCCAAACTGGAGCTTTACCTGATCCAGGTAAGACAGAGCATCCTCCACCTACAAAAACAACAGTTTATCTAACACACGGCTGTTACCGCAGGAATACATTTTTAATTATTAAGGGTGCTTTCACACCTACACTTTTGTTTCGGAACGTGTCTCGTTTGCCCAGTTAGCGCGGTTCGTTTGGCATATGTGAACAGGGCAATCGCGCTCTGTTCCGCGCCAAATTAATCGCTCCGAGATCGCTTGAATGAGGTGGTCTCGGTTCGATTGCAGTGAGAAAGCGATCCGATCCGAGCGCGGTTATATCACAGTGTTTTATGGATATGTAATAGGCATACGGCTATATGAAGAGAGAATTATGAGTAGGGCGGGAAGTTTCGCGAGTCTCCGGATGCCCGCAATCGAGTGATGATCTCCCTGTAATCTTGCGTCTCCCTCCCGGTCCTCAAATAGACATCGTTGCGCACCCTTCTCACCCCTCCCCACCGCGTCTTTCCTCTGACACGTCGCGCGCACGCACCCTGTCAATCACCAACAAACCACCACCTCTCCTGACAGCTTAGCAGGACGCTGCAAAATAAACCCTGACACTCTGACCAATGTGAGGAGAGTTTACTCGCACGTGACTTGTTTTAGCTCTTTTGGTCCGTTTAGAAACTTTGCAGTGTGAAAGCGAACTGCTCCAAGAGCAAAGAGCAACAATGTAACAATTGTAATCTCTGTTTCGGAACAACTGAATCGATTCACAGGTGTGAAAGCACCCTAAATGTATATATCCAGGAAACTCCCAATTAGATACAAGAGCTCTTCTACCAGGGAATTCTGGTCAAAGACAGACATCCCAAAACAAAAATTGAGGCAAAAAACCCTCCATAAAACCAAAACAACCGGGTATAAAGCATGTGTAATATTCCATCAAAAAATATTTAAAGCAAGAACTGCATACATGCAGAGCATCACTGAAAAGGCTGGTTTAATTCTCGCTGTGTGAAAAAATGACATCTTTAATCAGGTAACTTCAGGTGAGAGTTTTAGGTGTTAACCAAGTATTATAAATACTAATACAGAATGTCAACGAACTTATTGCGATATACACTGTGGCAATTTGCGCAGCAAAGACTTTTAAATTTCATATATATAGCACTGTGCAAAAGTCTTAGGCCACTAGTATTCTCACCCCAAAAAAAAAAAGTTTAAAGTCGATTATTTCTATATTTTTCTGTATGCGGTATTGAACCGATATCCGATCCAAATCGTAGCATCACTAAATTTTTTTTTTTATGTTCAATCCATTTAAAATTAGTTAACTGATTTGTGTTGGGACAGCATGAATGAATTATGTGGAACCCTACATTGTTTTACAGTGTATGACTAAACTTTGAATAACATGGTGCTGCTCAGCCGCCGTTGCAGTGTGTGAGTATCTGAGCTCTGCATCAAGACTTAAATCCTGCAACGTCCCTCCATACGATCAGGTATTAGTCTCCAACTCTTTAATGGATCTTTGTATATGATGTTGCACATGTCTGAATTGGCTTATTATTGTTTAAGTATGTGAATTGGCTTGGAAAATCTTTACCAGACAATTAAAATGTTTTATTTGATATGTTTTATGTTCTACTAAAATCATTTAAATCTAGTAGATTGTTTAGGCTGATGTTTCCGCAGCCTTTGAGCAGGACTGCTAATCCATTCAGGCTCAATGAATGAAGCATAGGTGCAGCATTAGAGACCTGTTGATTTCTGACAATCACTGACTTAGTATGACATAATATAGAGGCTAAATCAAACTATCGGTATGTATGAGCAAGCATAGGGTGGCCTAATATTACGTAAAGGAAATTAGTTTAGTTATATCCTCTATCTAAGAACCAGAACTGGCGAGGATGTGTCCGTGAGCAGATGTAACTGGGCAGCACACTGACTCTAAGCGGTTTTGGGTAAACGATGAAACATTAAATGAAAAGACGAGATGTTTAAAATATAATCGAATATCTAAATTCATTCCTCATTTATGAATGCGGCTAGTTTCTTGAAATCAGATTAAATTCGGAGCTGAAATAAAAATGAAAGTGAATTCTAACATATAAAAATACTTCTTTTCAGAAGTGCTTACACGCATTTAACCTTCACCCATGCTGTTAGTTCCGTCATTAGACTAATAGATGGACCCTTACAACCCTGATAAAACCATTGCAATGCTAATGCTGAAACAATAATATTGTTAAAAACGTATTTTTATTAATCATTTTCAAGCAACAAATAAAAGACAAAAGATCTGTTGCCTACACAAGAACCAGGACACAAAAGCCGGCCCACCTTGAGTCTCTGGAACTGCTGCTGGCCCTGTGTGGATGCAGACGGGGTGGGCGGATGAGCGTGACCCTGTACGGGTGGAGGAGCGTGGGCTTGAGCCGCCGCCGGGCCATGGTGATGCGGCCCGCTGTGCACTGCCGGACTAGGAGTGTGACTGTGACCACTGGAGCTCTGGGCCACTGTGGACACCTAAAAACAGCATCGGAGGAAAGACCTCATTAATAATGTAGGAATACGTTTCATAATCATAACAAACCCTCCTTACTAGGCTAGAATAAGCATTAGATTCTTATTGAAGGCGAAATGTGAAGCAAGGCATTTAAATGAAGAGATCTTACAGTGAAAGCAAAACTCATTGTACAGCATAAAGCCCATTTCGAAATAACAACACAGATATAAATGTGTCTGATGTGTGCTACCTTATTATCGCACTACTGTAAATAAATATACTGACGCTTCAATATTAGTTTTGTATTTTGGATTACGGATGAGTTAAGCTTCAATTTACTTAATGTAATAATTTTTCTGCATGGCTTTAGTGTTATAGGATTTCTATTAGGGCTGTGCGATTTGAGGAAAATATCTAATTGTGATTTTTTTGACAGATATTGCGATTGGATTTATGATTTAATTTCGTAATAAAGCTTCAGCTCAAATGCTGTTTTTCTCTGATATTAATTTGTCTTTTAATGCTTCTGAAGCAGCAGACATCATAATGCCACTTGTCAGTGTTTCCAGTTTGTTTTCTTTTATTGATTGTGTGCGTAGTTCGGTTGCGCAATTTTGATTGGGCAGAACGAAAGTGTGCAAAAGTCCCTCTTAGGCAAGTCATTTCACTCGACGGCCATCTTTGAAACGCCTCTCGGACAGTATACTCGGGCATTCTGTTTGAATGGGAAAACATATTCTCCAAAACTACTTGCCAAGTTTATGATTAACTTTCATATTAGGAAACACTAATAAAATAAAACAACAACCGCCTCTAGTTTCAATTCTAAATATTTAGATCACACAAACTCTGCAAAAACTCACGTCTGGCCTGAGTCCCTCCGCCGGATAATCCTCAGACTATGGGGATCACTGATTGGCTTCATTTTCCATATTGACGAATACACTTTTCCCCATTCAAAACTATACGAGTGACACAGTTTGGTATTCTATAGTGTTTAAGTTTGCTCACTCAATTGGCTAGTAAGACTGCCATGCACAGCCGGCAGCCACACATTTGCTCTGCGTGGGGAAAATTAAATACAAATATATTTCATATTGCAGCCCCTTGCAATTAACTAATTACAATGTTTCAAATTGCGATTGTGATTTGATTCTGATTAATCGCACAGACTTTGTTTCTATTACAAACTTTCGGTTCTAATTTGAATGTTTTAGTAATTTCGTATGTTTTTTTTGGTCTTTTTTTTATTAGTTTTTGAAACAATATGTCTTTATGGTTTGTAGTCTAAAGTAAAACTAAATAAAAAATTATAAACCTTTTCTTGGCAACATGCTGAAATAAAAGGTTTTTATAGATTTTTGAAGATTTTTTATTTGTTCAAGTAATTTAAGTTAAAGTTACTTCTATTTTTGTTTGATGGTTATTATTAATCCTCTTGTGTTCGGGTCAAATCTGACCGATTTACAACTTAGAACACTCGCTAAATATTGCTTCAAGACCTAATGATATCCTCTACACCAGAGGTGGGCAAACTACGGCCATATGCGGCCCGCTGAACACTTTCATCAAGCTCCTGATCGGTTAACGTGGCGCGAATGTCCGCTTCAGTTCAGATTTTTGAACTCGAGCAATTCGCGTCAAACGCGTAAAACGCTCAATTTTCACCGCGCCATTCGCGCAATACGTGTCATTTGCATCGCGCCGCAGGATGTCAATTTGCGCGTTTGCATTGACTTCACATGTAAATCACTCACGCTTGATGCGCGTTCTGCATCTGGTGTGAACGCAGCATAACGGTTTGGTTCAGAATTAGTAAATTAATGATGCAATTACAAGTGAACACCATGTGATGGCAGTATTGCACGCGGTACAGTTAGCGCAACCAATAAAATTAGAACACACTCTCGGATATTAAAATGCACTTGACCGTTAATGACTGAAAAAAAAAAGGAAAACTGACTGTGTGTTTAAGAAAGGACAACAAAATACTTCTTAACCAATTTTAGACAGAAAGTGTTGCTGTTTTTAAAGTTTAACGGGCTGATCACACCGAATGCGCTTTATGCGTTGAGAGGCGCCTCTTTTGAATGGTTTACTAACGGCTTTTACAACAGTTGTAATGTTGTTGAATGGTTTACTAACGGCTTTTACAACAGTTGTAATGTTGTTGAATGGTTTACTAACGGGTTTTGCGCGCTGCTTATGCGCGCCTCGCGTTTTTGCCGTAGCAGACTCCAGACTTTGACCCCCTTGCGAAGAGAGAGGACCAGGCTCATTGTTCACATTAACACACTCATAATAACCTGACTTTGAATAACAAGGACAAAGATTCTTCTTCCGTTTTATCTCATAGTTTTATGATTGACGTGAGCATATTTATAAAAAGCTCAAATGAGATTGTTGTCCATTTGACTCAAAGTATATAATAATTGCTGGATAAATGTGTTAATTTTTGTCTAAAACTCTAATGAGTTATTTCTTATCCATATATTTAAAATAATGTGTCGAAACAAGTAGACCCACTGGCGAGGCAGTGGCGCAGTAGGTAGTGCTGTCGCCTCACAGCAAGAAGGTCGCTGGGTCGCGTGGGTTTCCTCCAGGTGCTCCTGTTTCCCCCACAGTCCAAACAGACATGCGGTACAGGTGAATTGGGTAGGCTAAATTGTCCGTAGTGTATGAATGCGTGTGTGTGAATGTGTGTGGATGTTTCCCAGAGATGGAAGGGCATCCGCGGCGTAAAAACTTGCTGGATAAAGGGACTAAGCCGACAAGAAAATAAATGAATTAATAAACAAGTAGACCCTAGTTATATACATTAGGGATGGGAAGATTAACCGATATGTATCGATACGCGGTCATGCGCGTGCACGATGCGAGTGCATCGGTTGAGCAGCAGAGGATGAATGAAATTTTGGAAGCAAATCGAGATGCATCGGTTTTTGCGAGATGCATCGATTTTTCCGAGATACAGCTTATATTTTTAATATAGAATGTATTTTTTATTTACTAACAAGTGTTGTCAACCTGTTTTTGGCGCATAATTTAATCGACCTACATAAAGTAAGCCTTAGCAACGGATTTGCGGATGTGCACACACTACAACTCAGTGTATCAGGTGTGGGGATGAAGCTAGTGGAGCGCCCTCAGAAAGCGCGAGAAGCAAAACAAACATTTTATTCCCCACTGAGTTTTAAATCTAAAGTATGGCAAGCAACATTATGGATTTAAGGATGGACGACATGACAGGACAGATGCAATTTGCAAAATGTGCCGCGCATCTGTAAAATACGCGGGCAGTACGACTAATCTGAAATCTCACTTGAAGCGGCGCCACGGTGTTGTTGTGGAAGCATCTTCCAGTGTTTCTGCATCCCCGGCTTTCGCACTGCTTCAACCAGCTCCAAAAGTGGTGAGAAAAGCATTGCAAGTTTTTTTTTTCCCCATGCGCAACAGTTCTGCTCGCTCTACGCCAATAACGAATGCTATTGCATTGTTCATCTGCAAAGATATTCAGCCTAGTGTCACGGAGAACGAAGGTTTTAAACACCTCCTCCTGTTAATTTTTATTAAATTATAATAATAATAATATTAATAATAATAATGATAAAAATAATGGGTGTCACGGTGGCACAGTGGGTAGTTTGACCACCTCACAGCAAGAAGATTGCTGGTTTGTTATATTTTTATTAGCCTGTTGTTTACAGTGACAGTGATGTTTCAAAGCAGCATAACACTGCTAGTTCACCACCTTAAGTTTTGAATAATCAGTGGCAAAATATCTTTGTAAAACTTGTTTTCAAAGTTGAAAAGTTAAATCACAATTCTTGTTGTGCAATGCTAAATTTATTTATGTTGAAAGAGTGCAAATATATACATATTTTTTAATATATATTGCACTTATACATTCTGTTTATCTTGAAAATACTTAAATAATATGTGCTATATGTTCTAAAATTGGCCCTCTACTGTAAACTGACACTCTGGCTCTGAGAGAAGAGCCAGTTTGTAAAAAAAGTCTTGGTTTTGCTTGGTTAATAAATAATCAAACTCATTCAATGGCACAGCATCCTCTTTCACACCTTCTCATAAACTTGATCTAATTAGTTAGTATGAATTATCGCATCGTATCGTGATATGGGTGTGAATCGTATCGTGTTGCATCGCAATATGTCACAAATGTATCGCTAATATATCGGATCGGATTCTTTGTATCGAGATGCGTATCGGATCGGCATTATAGCTTAGATGCCCAACCCTAATATACATATATTTTTCATTAACAACATTTTTAAAAATCTTTAAAAACTAAATATAATTAAGGCAATTAAGGCAATTCTTTGCCGAAGTGCTTAGGTTTTTTTTAAGGATTAGCCATGTGAATAAAGGCTTTTTTTTTTTTAAATGTCCACATTTTTCGAGTGCTTTGGACTGATAATTGCTGTTTATTCTGATGAATCCCATACCCAAAGAGCACCGACACATTATTTAAGTTCCCCTGAGCACATTTTGTTTGATTTTGGATTTTTATTTAGATATTTTTGTTGGTGATTGGATGTGTGTTTGATCGATTGGGTAAGCTTTACATAAACAAAAGAAAATTAAGACCTGCTTAAAATTATTTTAGACCTACAAGACCATATTTCAGTCAATTTAAGACTTTTTAAGGCCTAATATTTTGTGTCTGAAATTCAAGACATTAAGACCCCGTGGACACTCTGACTTTAGTTTATAGCATTGCTTATTTAGCCAGATTCTAGACTCTGGAATCACTCTAAATTAACTAAATGCAGTGGGAACACATTAATTAGAGCTGTAAAAGCTGTACCTATTGTCTAATGTGCTGTAAATAATAGCGTCACATGAAATAGCGTCACATGACTTCATCTGGAGTGGGGAATTGCAGTTTTTGCCAACAGATTTGCATTGCTAATTTCTGATGCTTTCTTCACTGCTGCTTTCTCACCGTTGCCATTTAAGTTGCATGTTTACTTTGTGATTGAAAGAAGACCATGCAACACACATTCAATTTTCATCTACAGAAAATGCAGCACTCAGTGTTAGAAAAAATCTGACACAGCGATATTTAGTTTTGCCGTGATGTACATTGCGATATGAATATAATTCCACCAGATGATCTGAATAGCTTTATTGGTAAAAATGTCATTTATTTAGATTGACTGAGATGATCGAGTGTTTTTTTATGCAGTGCATCTGCATAAATTATAACAAATTACCAGCAAAAATAAATAAATAAACAGTGCTTTATGGTTTTTCTGTGGAGTCTAACAGTATTCAGTTAGAAATATTGTACAAATCAAATGTAAAACAGCATGGTCATCATTGTACAAATAATTTTAAAATAATAATACTTTAATTTCTTTATCGTTTAATCTTTAACAAATAATCTAATCCTGCAGATACACATATTGTGATATTGATGTTCAAACCATAAACTGTTCAGCAATATATAGTTAACAGCATACAAATTAGTTTTATTCTAAAACAAAGAACAAAATGGACTTCACTGTGAGTATATTGGGGCCAAATAGGTATATGTGTCTGTACCTGGTATGCTTGAGGAAGCGGGTACTGTATTCCTGGAGTGGGCTGCATGCTGTCAGCCACCGCCTCGAATACAGCAGGCGCTGGGGCCAGAACCCTGTGCTGGAAGCCCTCAGTGCTGCCGGGAAGCCGGCGTTGTTGTGGGGTGAACACTGGCTCCTGATCCTCTAAACGCCTCCTCATGCTGTACTCATACTCAGAGGGCACCAAGACCTGACACAGACAAGACAAACAAGCAACTTGCACTATGAAACATCAAGATCTGGCTGTAGTCCAAACCATTACTAACAGGAGATCTACTGGTCTAGACAGCTATCTGGGCTGTGTGGTGAATAATGCGCTCATAAATGCATAAGAAGTGTGTATATAAATGTAGATTAGACATGGGACGATAACTGCTTTCAAGGTATACCGCGGTTTGGAAAAGTCAGGGTTTTAAAACCGGCAAAATGTTCGGCTATACCGTGCCTAAGGTGTGTTATTTACGAGTATCTCCAGCAGAAAAGATCTCCAAAGATGCTGTTTTAAATTGTAAAGAAATCTGTGTTTTTGAAACTAATGAGGACAGCAGAAGTCGATGGTTCGTTTAAATTATTCAGCCTGACATGTTTATTGCCCAACTAAAATACTAAAATATATTGTGTTCAAAGTAGGGCTGCTCGATTTTGGGGAAAAATCATAATCACGATTATTTTGGTCATAATTGTAATCATGATTATTCAAAACGATTATCAGTTGAAGTAAAAATTATTAGCGCTCCTGAGAATTTTTTCAAAATAGAAAAAATATTAGAGGAAATACTGTTAAAAATCCTTGCTCTGTTAAACATGATTTGGGAAATATTTATTTAAAAAATATATATATATTTCCCAAATCATGTTTAACAGAGCAAGGATTTTTAACAGTATTTCCTCTAATATTTTTTCTCCTGGAGAAAGTCTTATTTGTTAGAATAAAAGCAGGTTTCAATTTTAAAACTTCTTTTAAGGTCAATATTATTAGCCCCTTTAGGCAATATATATTTTTGATTGTCTGCAGAAGAAACTACTGTTATACAATAGCCCCTTTCACACATACAGACCTTTCCGGAAAATTGCCGGCAATTTTCCGGAAAGCTTGTATGTGTGAACAGGTCCTTTTTGAAAATACCGGTAATTTAGTTCTGGCTATTTTCCGGAAAGAGAAGTTGTAAGATTACCGGCAATTTGCCGGAATGCTGTGTGAATGCAGAAGTAATGCAGAAGTAAGATTTCCGTAATAAGCGCGTGCACGTCTAGAACGTGCTGACGCGAGACGTCTGCTTTAGCCAATCACAACAGTCAGACGCATTTACGTCCGCGCGGTTTGTGAGAATAAAAACCTTTGAATATTTTTCCAGACACATTTAGCTGCTAGAAGTTAGTCAGATCACGTTCATATGTTCTTCTTTATGCCAACTGTGTAAATAATCATCGATGACATGCTTATGATAAGCCGTTGTTTGTTTACCTTCAAGCTTTGCGTGTGCCTTTGAAACAGCCTGTGAGCGCCAGCACACGCACATATTATGAACATCTCGACATGCGAAAGTGATCCTGCGAAAGTTGTTCACAATATTGATCATCCACAGAGTTTGTAATTTAGTCAAATGTTTACAAATACAAGCGCAGCCGTTAAAAGCTCATTTGAGGTGAATGATGTCAGAATTTACCGGTATTTTGGAATGGATGTGTGAATGCTCTTTTATGGAAAATTTCCGTAACGTCCTCGCCTGTGTGAACAGTGCTTTTTTGAATATACCGGTAAAGTCGTTCCGGAAATTTTCCAGATATTTACCGGTATCACTGTGTGAAAGGGGCTAATGACTTGCCTAATTCCCTAATTAAGCCTTTGAATCACACTTTGAATTTGAATGCTTGTATTTTAAAAAATATCTAGTAAAATATTATGTGCTACCATCATAACAGATAAAAAAATCGGTTATTATAAATAAGTGATTAAAACTATTTTGTTTAGAAATGTATTGAAAAAAAATCTTTCCATTAAACAGATACTGGGGGTAAAGGGTTGCTAATATTTAGGAGGGAAAGAACTGTACAAAAGCACGTACATCTCTCTTAATTGGGTGCTCAGCCAAAACCGCAAAAAGTGCAACTAAATGTAAATCAAAGGCGGCAACACCAAGGCTCCAAAAATACAAATTTATTAAATTAAAAAGGCTGTGTGTTGGGGTTGCCGCCTTTGATTTACATTTAAGATTTAGGAGGGCTAATAATTCTGACTTCAACAGTATATACACAGTTATTTTACTCCCTGTAAAGAAGGAAAGGGAAATAAATACAATAGAATAAAAATATAAAACAAACTGTGCTTTAAGCATCCTCACTGTAAGAAAAACACTTTAGCTACAAAAGTCCTTCAGTCAAGAGCAGTGAGGGATTTTCTCCTTGTTGTTTGATTAATAATGATAAAAACAGGCGGCAGCGGAAATACTGCGCTGTCACTTTAATGGTTTCTCTTTCACAACTCATATATTTATTACACAAATGAGGGTTAATATGAATAATCAATAAACACCGCGTTTTGACACCTATATGACCATTAAAGCGCTCACGTTAAGATGACTTTAGATGTGTGCGCTCTGCACGCTACAGTGTGCGAATGAGACCAAATGCTGACCGCATGCTTCTGACTGTGTATGTGCGCCGCGCTCACACATACACATATAAGTATGTGGTCTTTCGCGCTTTTGAGAGCAACACGTATACAACTGGAAAGGGGGCGGTAAATAATGGAATAATCGTTTATCTCGATTAATGGTTTTTCATAATCGTTAGAAGCCAAAATCGAAATCGGATTTTCGATTAATTGCACAGCCCTAGTTCAAAGGTTTTTTTTTTTTACCCAGGCTTTATAAAAGAATATATTTTAGAGCAGTAACCACAATACCGAGAAACTGTGATATTTTTATCCAAGGTTTTCATACCGTCTGAATCTTATACCGGCCCATGCCTAATGCAGATCAAGTGTATGAGCCTGTAAATCTATGGAAAAAAAATCGAATTGTTCAAAATAACACTTCATACATGATCTCATTCGTGTTTAGATGACACAAAACCAACATTTAAAGATGCAGAAGGTGACTGTCTTCAGAAGCATTTTTTGTTGTGCTGGTTAAAAGTCTCTTCACAGTCTAATAGTAATGATTAAAGTAAATGATTTAAATGTATTTATATGTATTTGTATATTTTGGGTAAGACATAAAACTAAAAAATTTCATCCAATTAAATAGAGTTAAGGCTGATTTATACTTCTGTGTCAAACACCGGCGGATGCTACAGCGCTGACGCATAGCCCTTCGCCGTGGCCGTCGCCGTCACTGACGTGCACCTCTCAAAAAATTTAACTACACGTCGCAACAACGCGTAGCGCAAGCTCTGTGATTGGTCGGCTTGGTAGCGCTGACGAGTTGGGGCGGGACCGAGAGCCGCGCGAATGGCACAAGCCCGATGTAGCGATTGTTTACAAGTGTGAAGTCCCGTGAAGGAGCTCCGGATGGAAAGTTTTGTTTTGTGTTTACCTCATAGTTAAAATTCTTGCACGTCCGCTGGTTTCTGCCTCAAAATGAGCGAGTTTGAGTCACTTGTACAACCAGGAAGTGTTCAGGAAACGCAAAACAGAAGCGAAGAAACTCGACACAGAGGAACATTTACACCTCACTGCCAACTAGCGTTTCGGAAGTGTTAATGCAGACCAACAGAGACAGCGCGCAGAAGTATAAATGCACAGCTGCGCGTGTTGCCTGCGCCGTGAGTTGCGCCGGTCACTTGACGCAGAAGTATAAACCAGGCTTCAGGCCGACATCTCTCATAATTCCGATAAGTAGCTCAAACTGTCTGTCAGCAAATGCAGATTTGAACAACTGCGCAGCTATTTGTACGCATCTCTGCCGACCGCTGTTTGTGCTGCGCATTCACGAGAGAGAGCACGCGTGCACGATTGGTAAAAACCTGCTGAATCAAAATTTTTTAAAAACCTGAATCAATATTGGAGTTACCTTTGCACGCTGGAGAAAGGATGAAACCATGGCTGAAGGATTTCTCTTAGACAGGTAATGTTCTGTTTTAAAACTGTTTTAGCTTCACTCAAAGCTGATGTAAGGTTAGATGTTGTTGTCACAAATGGGTTATATCTTCACAGAAGTGTTGTTCAGCCACTAAAATCTTCTGGTGAAAAATTGATAAAACTATTTTCAGTTTCGTAAGGGACCTTTTACAGCATCGATAATGTAGATTTTAATTAGTTTAACAACAAAACACAAGTAAATAGCGCTATTCCGCCTAGTCTCTCCCTATATTGTTTACCATGCAACTCGAAATATTCGCTCTGAAATAGCATGTCAGTTTGGCTTAGTAATGAGTGTAATTCCTGCACGCCGCCGGACAAGCACTAGTTGCTTTTAACACATGAGAGAGGGTTCTGTTGCTGTGCTCTTGTTTAAGGAGGCGTGGCTCTAGACTGCAGGGGAGGGACTGTGATACAGAGATTTATGCTAAGCCGTTAGCATTGTGAAAGATCACCTACTGCACCTTTATCTTTAGAAGAGCTAAAAAAAAATCTATATTTGGTGGAATATCCTAGATTTTCAACCGCAACAAATGAAAACATTTGTTATTTTGACCAATTTCCATGTTCCAAAGGTTTCAATTAAATGATTTAAATGAATCAGATTTTGACAGCCAACAATGCTGAGACTTTGAGCAAATTAGGGCAAAGACAGATTCTGCTTGACTAGTGTATTCAGGGTTTCTGCAGGTTTCACAGAGTTAAATTTAAGACTTTTTAAGACATTTTTAAGACCATTATGAATGAAATTTTAGACTTATACAGGGCTAAAGGCTAAGGAATTTTTCAAATGGCCCAGATGGGAAAGATTTTTATGTGCCCTATCAAAAATAATAATAACAATAATAAAATTAAATATATATATATATATATATATATATATATATATATATATATATATATATATATATATATATACACACACACACACATACTTTAATACATCAATTTAATAAATTAATAATGAAAAATGTAAATCTTTTAAATTATATTTCTTAGCAAAATATTGTGTAAAAATCAGCAAGCTCAACTAGTATCCATATACTTTATTTCCAACATAAACTTACTTTAAAAAAAAATAAAAAATGATTAAATGTTTCAAAAGTTTTAAAAACTATAATAAACTAAATCTATGCACAACAATCTGTCCAGGTTGGTGTCCTCAGCAGTAAATACATGGAGAACCTTTAAACAAATGTTACTGTAAGGAAAATAATTAAACCATTATGATAAATAGAGTTTAAAAAGACCTTTTTAAATATAAAGTTTAAAGTTTTATTAAGATTATTGTTGGTCGTTGTATGGGTTTGGACCAGATTCAGCAGCAATACATAAACAAAGGAAAGTTAAGACCTGTTTAAAAAAAGATATAAGACCTACAACACAATATTTCAGTAAATGTAAGACTTTTTAAGGCCTAAAATTTAGATTTTGAGATTTAAGACATTTTAAGACCCTGCAGAAACCCTCGTATTCAGCATTAAACTGCACATTGTTATAAATGTGGTTGTTTATGTTTTTATCGTAATAAGTTACCACTTAAAAAGTTATATGACATTAGTTAATACAATTTAAAGTAATGTTTTCTATTTACTTTAAAATATATTATGGTATAAATTTGAAAATTACCCATGGCAACATTAATGTAACACCGTTTAGTAAATTTACTTTCGGCCCAAAGCTCTCAATTATACCTAGTTTTGGCCCCTTCATACAAAAAAGTTTGGGCACCCCTGCTTTATAAGAGATAACAAATATTAACAATTTATTCAAACTCAACTAATAAATCCTGAAGAGAGTGTGTGTGGGGGTGTATATGCACGTGCATGGTGGTGAGTGTGTGAACGTGAGCGTATGTGTAAATATATTTCTATATTGGTGTGTGGAAGTACAGTATGTGCATATAAATGTGCACGAGGTGTGTCGTCTGTATACATACATGCGGTAGATTAACAGTTACGTACGTGTGTGTTGCACATGCTGACAGATAATGCTAACTTGCTAACACGAGACTAAAAGTGACGAAGTTTGGTCAGGAATTTCATTTTTATCAAAGCAAAGATGAAAACTACGAGTCGGAAGGTTCTGACTGACAGAAAACATGTATTGAGAGAGAAAAAGTTGGATTAGAATTGGATAAAACGGTTATTTTATAGCTCTTAGACTCACCCGCTTATGTTAGCTGCGCTTGCAGTTCACCAAAGCAGTTAAAATATCGCTGAAATGCTAAAATTCTGCGTGAAACACGGATAAAACACATTAAAATGTAGTTTTAAAATCAACTAACGGAGAAAATCCTGTTGAAAACAAGCGCTGGAGAGGGGCGGGGCTAACTTGGGCTTTGCGCACAGGCTCCGCCCATATGTTCGCTGATTGGCTCTTTGCTTGGCAGACGCCATTAGGATGTCTTTTTATTGAACGTTCAAATCTGTCATTCAAACAACATATTAGCATTATTCGGGGGGTTGAGCCAAAACCCGCCAGTGTTTTACACACACAGACACACACAAGAGCGAACGGCTGGTGTCTTTGAGCACCTCATTTTCTTTTCATACCAAACAAATAAGTCGCGATCTGATCGGGATTAACTTTACTATAGCGCGCGATTATCATCTGGGATTTCGCTCATTAAATCGATGCATCAAATATCTAATCGTTTTCAGAACTTCCTGTCTGAGGTTACGTCAGTCTTTACGCCCCCTCAGGAAAGTTGGCCAATCGCAACGACGAACTCCCTTAAATAACCGCCTCTTATGGAATACCAAGCTCTGATTGGATAGGCGCTCAGAGAACGCGTAAGGCGTGACGCAACGCCAAATGGGTGTTTACCAGGGGTAATCCTTGATTCTGATTGGTCAGACGCAGTAAGTGGGCGTTATGTATGACGTGAGGCTCATATTGCCAGACTCCACCCACGAGAGGCGGAGCCTAAGCTAGTGCCCGGGATTCCTCGGCTCGCCCCGTCCGTCCGCAGTCAGTGCTGAGGCGTGCGAGTGAATGCGTGCACAGCGTTTCGCTTAAAATACCGACAAAACAAAACACAACCCGAAGCAAAACAGCGCAAACTGACACAATAAACAAGTTGGGACTGATTTCGACGCAAAGCGCGCAAATATTCAGCATGTTCGCGAGCGCGACAACACGACAGCGAACAAAAGATCCGCATATAAACACCGTCAAACGTTTACCGGGGACATTTGTCAAGATCGCACGATTATTGGGTTAAACAAGAACACTCGAACATGACACCAGCAACACACACGCCTCTATCATGACATGTTGTCCTTTAGTAATCAGACCCAAAGTCAAAATGGGAACTAAAAATCTGATCGCACAAACACGGACTCTCTGTGCGATCGTGCGAAGGTCTGAAACGAGAGATCCGATCACATATTACAGCACAAACACGCCAGCTGATCCAATATTCTTTGTTTACTGGGAGACTGAAGGGGAAAATGTCTAACCGTGTTTGAGCACCTCATCCCTCCCCCTCTGAACAGCAGACAGAGCCACAGATCTGCTTTCAGATCAAAAACAAGTTCGGAAAGCCCTCGTGAAACACGCAGACGGGTTTGTGTGTCATAACACAAACATACACGTTTCTCCGGGGCTTCAGTTGGCCAAAGCTTTGCCCCTTTTTCCTCCCCTTAATGTGCCATGATCGAACAAACAGCCCGATTAACACACTCAAAGCCCCTGACCGAGCGAGCCTCTGCAGAAAGCACTCAAACACCGATGGAAACCTACATTCGATCAAAAGAGGACAACAATAAATTTGTTTTCTTTTGCCCAGCTGCTACATACCTGCGAAAAAGAGCCTCGCACTCCGGATTCGTGTTTGGAACAAATAGTTGGGAACGCCCCCCTCTCCTCCCATTGGTGGACGTGACGGTATGCGTCATCCGGATTTGAATACGACCCGCCAAATCCATTGGAATAGCGACGTAGGCGCTGCTTCAAGACACCTGTAGTATCAGACCGCAGGCTTTCTTTGCTTTTTTAATGATTATTTACGTTGAAGCCACTCACTGTTGTTTGTTATCGGATTTTAGACACTCTAAAGTCTAACAAAGGAGAATTATACTGATATATTTGACTACACACTGCTGAGTTGCTGTTAGCAAATTTAAAGGGACTACTTGTATTATATTCCTTTTTTATAACAAATGTGTGAAGAGCTTATAACAAAACTTAAAAAGAAACATTCCCCAACTTCCTTCGTTGTTTATGAACGCCTGTATACGTATTTTCATGGTTTCGGGCCGTTTTTTAATTTTATTTATACAACAGCAAATATACAATTTAAACAAGACATCCGAAAAAATACAAATGTAACTAATAACATAAAATAAACTTAAATATAAATGACATAAAATAAATAAAAACACAGCTTCCACATAGAAACCTTTACAATTATATTATGATTTAACCTACACAATTGACAGCAAGGTTACTATTCAATTAACTTCTGCTCCTTTGCAACTATAATTGTATCTTGACATTTTTTGCTATTAATATATTGGAGCGAAAAATCAAAAGATTAATAAGAAATTCCACAGATAAATTGTTTAAAACAAAATAAAAAATAACAAGTTTGGGGGTAAAATTTAAATTTAAAACCTGTTTTGCCGGGATAATAAATAGCTGTGACGTTTCCGCACTTCCGATAGCCTTGCTTCCGTTTTTCAAGTAAAATGGGCGTGGCTATTTGGTTATTAAACTTTATTTGTTTTTTTTTTCCACCAGTTTAATAAAAATATCTATAGCTACAGTAATGTCTACGAACGTATGCATTTAAACTACAGTCAAATCTTTATAGTCTACAGCTAAATTCTGGAAAGTAAGGCTGACATTTTTTAAATTTAAAGAGATTATTTGTTGTATTGTTTTTTATTTTTTATAGCAAGTTTGTGTAGAGCTTATAACAAAATTTAAAATGAAACTTTAGAGAGCCTTGCTTCCTTTCTTCAGTTACGTTGCTATTTGTAAATAAAAAATGTTGTTTAATTTTATTTGTGTTTTTCCCCACTATTTTAATGTATTGACCACACTATTAACATGCTGCTGGTTTGTCGTTTGCAAACTGTTTTGCCTTTTATTGTGGCATATTTTTCTGTAGCTGCTGCTGAAGTCTCACACATTCACGGAAAACAGCAAGCTTTTGTGTCGAAAAATAAGTTCGATACAATTTCAAAGAGCAGAAAGTATAGAGCCAGATCAGTCTCAAAAATATTACATTTAAAAACTCAACTCAACTCAAGTTTAAAAAATCCTATTCGTAAATTCAAAAACACACAAATTCAATTCAGATATTCAAAACACAATTAACATGTACAAAATCCAATTCGAAAATTTCAAAAACGATTTAAAAACATACAAATCCAATTTGTAAATAAAAAAAAACAATTCGTAAATTTACTTATCCAATTTGTGAATCCAAAAAATTATTCAAAAACACAAATACAAATCGCAAATTCAAAAAAACAATTTGTAAATTCACTAATCCAATTCTGAAATTCAAACAACGAAAAAATACACAAATCCAATTCATAAAATTGAAACACGATTAAAAAGTACACAAATTCAATTCGTAAAAAAAAAAAAAAAACGATTCAAAAACTCAAATCCAGTTCGTGAATAAAAAAAAACAGTTCATAAATACACAATTTTAATAAATAAATGTAAAAAAACTATTAAAAAAATACACAAATCCAATTCATAAATTCGAAAAAATGATTCATGAAAACACACAAATCCAATTTCTAAATAAAAAACTATTTGTAAATACTCTAATCCAATTTGCAAATTCAATAAAACAATACATAAATACACTAATCCAATTTGTGAATTCAAAAAACGATTCAAAAACACAAAAATCCAATTCGTAAATTAAAAAAAACTATTTGTAAATACTCTAATCCAATTCGTAAATTAAAAAAAAAAACTATTCGTAAATACACTAATCCAATTCGTGAATTCAAAAAATGATTCAAAAACGCACAAATCCAATGCGTAAGTTAAAAAAAAACTATTTGTAAATACTCTAATCCAATTCGTAAATTAAAAAAAATAAAAAATAAAAATTCGCAAATGCACTAATCTAATTCATAAATTCCAAAAACGATTTAAAAACCCACAAATCCAATTTGTGAATTCAAAAAAAACTATTAAAAAATACACAAATCCAATTCATACATTTAAAACACGATTAAAAAGTACACAAATCCACTTTGTAAATTTAAAAAAGATTTAAAAACACACAAATCTAATTCATGTAAAAAAAGATAATTCGTAAATACACAAATCCAATTCATAAATTCAAAACATGATTCAAAAACACAAAAATCCAATTCACTTGGTGAAAATATTGGATTTTTACTTGTAAATTCAGAAACTGTGTGCTGTAATTCTGATTTGTTTTGAATTTACAAATTGGATTTTGTAAATGTGAATTGTGCTGTGCGTGTATGAAATTTATTACATAAATGTATTATTTTTGAGACTGATCTGGCTCCATGAGAAAGAGCAACTGTGATGTCTATTAAAGTATTCTCTTAACCAATAGTGTCGCAAAGTCAACTCATTAAATCCTACAATAAAAATTTTAATCAAAGTTCTGAAAAAAGTGAGACTGATTTTTTCGATCGCCCCCTGGTGGCTGAATGCAGTACACGTCATGAACCCCACCCTCTCCATGTAAACAAATGGGACCAAATGAGCCAAACCACAAATTAAAATGGCCACAGTTCACTTAATGGCCACCTCTGTGCCGATAATAAGACTTTTTGAACACTTCTCGTCAAAAACTTTTCTCTTTAAAAGTACGGAGCATTTTCAATTGTCTAAATCAGTGGTCACCAAACTTGTTCCTGGAGGTCCGGTGTCCTGCAGATTTTATCTTCAACCCTAATCAAACACACCTGAACAAGCTAATCAAGGTCTTACAAGGTATACTTGAAACATCCAGGCAGGTGTGTTGAGGCAAGATGGAGCTAAACCCTGCAGGGAAACCGGCCCTCCAGGACCAGGATTGGTGACCCCTGGTCTAAATAAATGCAGGAAACACTCTTAATGGCCTCTTGGACGCCAAACAATGTTTTCTACAACATATGCATTAAATTATATAAACACTACTAATCCATATCTCTTTTTGTTGTTGTTGCATATGGCTCAAAGATGAGAGATATTCCAGTTCAGTGTCTGCATAATTTGCGTAAATTAAAGTGATGTCAAGTACGTGAAGTATATTTAAATGCAACTTAAGTGTATAAGTTTCTAATAACTTTA